ATTTCCTGCAGAGRGAACATGTAACAATCATAGTCTTTTCAGTGTCTGGTGACAAAAAAAAAACCCAGCTGTACAAATTGCAAAACTGGGTGGAAATAGTATGGAAAGCAAAAAAAAAAAAAAATCTGTCATGTATGTACCAACTACTACTTGTGTTCTGAAGAACACCTGTTTGAGTCTAGATTTAACTCACACTGCAGGAATAGCTACTTTATATTTGGTATGTTCTCTCAGCTGAGATGAAAAGCGAAAGGTTAAGTTAGTATTAAAACTGTTCATCAAAATAGCATTACAGTATTTCATGGTATTTCCAAGTACCTACTTTAGAACTTTATTCTTCAGCCCAAAATCTCAAAGTGTTTAGATGAATAAAGACAGATTAACACATTTRTGCACATATTATTAAATAACTTCTTCAGACCCCACCTCTTTAAAGGATGCTTTGTATTTAATGGCGACATAMAAGCTGGAAAGAAGAGGAGAGAAAACTTCCTAGCTGTTCTATAGTTTAATACGTATCATACAACTGTGCTTGATAGTCAAAGCAGCCACAATTTATGCTCTACACAAGTGATAAATTGGAAATATGACATTGCCCTAAGCACCCCAGGTATCTGACGTGACATATCCAAGGACCTTCACTTTTTATTMCAAGACCTGACTTTATGGGAATGAGAAAAGGTTCGCAGTAGAGAGAGCCATGCAGCACTTCACAAATCTTGTGGGTGGAAAGGTGACTGCCAACCACAGCAGTGTGTTCTGTTAGGGAAGAGCTGAGCTGCAGATCACACAGGTAAAAGTGGCAGCCTGAGGTGCAGCAACACCACTTGGAGCAAAGAAACTCAGCTCTTTCATACTTGGTCAAAACATGAGAATCCTGTCTTGGATAAAATGTGAAAGGAAAATGCAACCTTCCATGAAATTAATGATTCAGATTAATACGCTCTTTTTAATGTAATCTTTTGTAAAGATAACTTCACTTGTTTTTTTCTATTTTAAGTGCATTCTGGCTACTCAAGGTTTTAGTGGCTAGATCTAATGACAGACTATTTTATTACCAGCTAAATGTTAAGCACAAATGAGAATGACCTGAAACTCTGTAACTAGATCCATGAACTCTTTTTTCCTATGTAAGGCACAGAAAAGAACAATCTTGGCATTTTCTACTTGGCACTTTCTATTTCATCCACAGACAGGTAAAGGCTGTTAACCTTTAGTCACAAGCAAGCTTAACTTCATGAAGAAAAAGGACTGAAATGTGATCTTCAGGCATGCACATGAGGCATTAGATTTAACTCAAGAGAGGTGTTAGAATAATTCAGCACTTCTGCCTGTTCTGTGTTCTTCCAAAAGTCAAGTGGCAGCAGTAGTAGGGCAAGAGAGCTGCTGCCAAACAACATTCAAGCAACAGTAGGCAGACAATGACAATTTTTCCAAGTTACTTTTGGTTTAGAGCCTTTTTCTGCAAACCACAGAGACCTATTCCAGTGGCCATTGAGTGAAAGGAAAGCAAACTTAAGTTGGTCACAAATCCCTTCCTTTCAACTGTTTCACTATTCAGTTTTGAGGGTCTCTATAAATGAAGAGCCCTCAGCCCAAAGACAAAATAATTTTGTATTGTTGATTAGTGTCAGATACTGATTTGATATCTAAACCAATTCTATTTCAATGACACTAAAAGAGAAATATGAGACACAAATAAGATTTTTTTTTTTTTKTACAGCACAGATGACTTTATTCATTAAAACACAGCATATACATGAAATATACCTCAGAGAAAGCCAAGATTTTGGCACCAGCAAATTAAAAATATTCCTGCAGTAAAGAGTATTCACCAGGGAGCCAGTTCTGATGATTAAGGCTGGAAGACTTCTTGTGACCCTAACTCAGAAAGAATGAAAAATGAAGAATTGAAAATGAATCTATAGTGTTAACAGAGATAAGGTGGTTTTGGTGGGGGCAGGATGGCAGTGTTTTTTTTGCATTTTAAAGACCAATGAGGAAGAGAATTATCCTTGAAAATTTTTCATATTAAGTATATAGTACTGTTGTCCCTTTCAAAATGCACGGGACTGCTGAGCAATCTTGCCTTTAAAAATTCTACTAATAAAAATATTTGACTTATTTGACAATATTGCAAAGGAATAGAACTATTGAAGTTTGACAACAGCAGCTCTGCAGGAGGAAGAAGGAATGCTTTTTGGGTAACAGGGTGAAATATCATAGGAATGAAAGACTGAGAAAGAAGAACATGTTCATTGCCTTTCTGATAATGTTTATTTCAGGTCTGAATCTGCCTCCAGCCTGCTTTGCCTCTTTCTAAAAGAAGAGAGTCACAGGAGAACCTGCAGCATTCAGCTGCAGCAAACCAGTCCCTACAGGAGTCTGGTTATTTATCAGTTCTTGAAGTATCAACCTACAGTCCTTGCCATCTTTCCTAGTAAAGTAATTCTCCACAAAATCTACAATAAATGAAACCATTGGTTCTTAGGCAATTCTAGCATATATTGATCCATAAATCATTTACTAATAATGGGCAATATCTTGTCCAGTACAAGGATGTTTGAAGGATGCTCCACCTCCTAATTTTATACTTGATTTTTAGTTGAGTCCTTTAATAATGTGCAGCATCAATAAGTATCACTAAGCTATTATCTATTTATTTTTTTAAAGACAAGTTTTTCTTCCCCCCTCCACTGAAAAAGTACCAGTATTCACTAATATTCAAGGTAACTGTGACAAAGATAGAGGGTAGAAAGTCATCACTGTGATGACTTGAGAAAGTGAGTAGAGAAAGAATTTGACAAACTTAAAGGAAGAAATCAGCAAATTCAAAGATTAATACACTGGTAAGTTCCATTTTTAATAGACACACTGTGCCAGTAATAATAAGCCTTGCAGCTGACCCACTAAGATTCACTTCCCTAATTTAGCATGGTACTGCTAATAAGAAAATATTTTCCACTGCCCAATACTTCATCTAGGTAAAACATGGATTATTTTAGCACTGACAAGGAAAACAAATTTTCTGGGCTTCCAAACACTGATGTACAAAACCAACACTCCTCGACTGAAGGCAAACCAAGTATTTTTTACAGTCCATATCTTTTTCCTATCATTATTAATTCCTAGCTGAATCTTGCTTTGAACTTGTGTTACTGAATTGGTGTCAATTATTCGAAAGGCCTAACCCTAACTCAGCTATAAAATACTGAGTTCTTTCATATACGTGCATATAGACAAGCAATGAACCAACCTGTCTGGGCTGAAGTAACACCTGATACCTGGTGATGGCTTGCAGGGGATATTTTTGTTACATAAATTATTCCACATTTGGGCAACATATTTTAAAACTTTTGGAAACACTTCTGTTATTATTTTCTCATCTCATATTTGAAATATATCTGCATYAGGTGGTCTGAGAACAGCCAGCAGTACTTACATCTCACTTGCACAAAAAATTCACTAAGGAGCTTAGTATTCATTAGAAATGGATAAAAAGTACTATTTATATGACGAGATGGCAAAAATTAGAAATTGTCCRTGGTGTGCCCAGATGTAATTTTGAAAATATCTATAAGATGCTCAGAACTCACAACTCTGCTGAAAACTTTCTAGAGCTTTTATTTTTCATTTCAAAATCAGTTTTTCTGGAATACTTGCTTTTTGACCTACACACGAGACTTTTTACATATATCCTTCCCACTCGTTAGGGAACTTTTTTCCTCCATTACAACAAAATGACACAGATTTATTATTAACTGACATTATTATTCACACACATTAAATCTCTTTGCTAAGTTTTCTCATGTTAAGGTGAATGTATCTCAACAAACAAGGGAGACAGCTATGGATGTCAGTAAGAAAATGACTGCAGAAAGGATGTAGCAAGCTACCAAACAAGGCTTAAGTGTTAATCATTCAAGCACAGGCACACAAAGAACAGCTTGTAGAACAACCACATTCCAGGGAATCAGCAGCATTCACCTGCAGCAAGCCAGTCCCTACAAGAGTCTGGTTATTTATCAATTCATGAAGTATCAACTGACAATCCTTTATCATTTTTCCTAGTAAAGTAATTCTTCACAAAGTCTACAACAAATTAAACATCATTGTTTCTTAAGCAATTCTAGCATGTGTTGATCCATAAATCATTTACTAAAAATGGGCAATATCTTGTTGAATGCAATAAGGAAGGATGCCTTATTCCTTCCTATTTCTTACTGAAGCCTCAGTGAAATGTCTCCACACTAGTGCACATAGCCCTGGAGACAGACAGGAAATTGGAATTCTGGGTGTAGTTATGGACCTGTGACCCTTTTGGGGTCAGGAAGATTTGGTGGGACAGTAGACACYGCTGAAGTGCTAAAATCAATGGAAGCAAGTTCTTTGACTCCAAATTGAGTAAAACAAACTTCAAGWGTTAGTAACACAAGTGCTTGTAATTGGACCAATAATAACTTCGTTGAAGTGTTTAAATTCTAATTAACAAACATTTGGCTTTCATGGGAAGAGGGKTTTTTTTGGTTCATTAATTGCATGGGTGTCTGAGCTGGGACCCCAATCAGGAAGACYGCAAAGACAGAAAATCAAGTTCTTTAGATACCATGTGAGCATTCATCAAAGAGACCTGGTATAATTTTTTATGTTTGCTTCCACACATTTGGGCAAAAGAAAAGATGGAAAACAACTTCTGAACCTGACCTGACGTTGACTTGTGAGCTAACAATACAGAACCATAGAATGGCTTGTTTGGGAAAAAGACCTTAAAGACCATCTAGTTCCAATCCTAAACTTAACTTAGAGGGCCAAGTTTTAAAATCCAGGGGTAAGGAAAACTGAGCRGAACTACAAATAAATATAAATAAATCTCACAAAAAGTAAATTAAGTAGAATAATATTTCTTCAGACAAACAAATGTGTTCTATTTAAAAGTAATGACATTTTCTAGTTCTCTTGTTAAGGTAGATAAAGAAAATACATGACACATATTTCGTAAACAGTTATTTATTAAAGCAAACAATTTCATTTCTTAATCAAATGTTCTAATCATCTGGAAAAAAATGTCATCAAGTAAATWGGGCTTTTGCATTTATTTTTACTGTATCGACTTTGCAAACTAGGTGTTTGCATAGATTTCACAGTTTTGTATTACTGTCTAAGCAGCCTATTCTCCTGAAGTTCTTCAGTATTATTTGGAATGCTTTGGTTCATACTGAATGCAGCAGATAGAACAATACAAACAAGACGATTATTGCATTTTATGACACTGGAATAGCTGGTCTTCAAGTCAAAACCAAAATTTGTTTACACGCAAAGATAAATAAATAAGCCTTACTCTTCACATTCTTAACAGAACAAGAGTTTTTTAGAGCTCTACTAAGTTTCCACGATGCTTTTTCTTGCTCTCATGCGTCAACATTTTAGCTAGAAAAATTTTGAAAGATATCTGCACCCTCAAGCCAGTTCCGAAAACAGGATAGCCCTTTGTCTCTGATCTGTTTTCTTCCCTTGTCAGTAATGACTTCTCCAGTTTGTTTCACAATCACCAGTTTAGGAATTGCTGTTATGTTGTATTTCTTCTTCAGATCACTGAGGGGRAAAAAAATAAAAATAAAACACACCATTAGGAGCATTTTGAGAAAATTCCTAGTATCTTATGAAGGCTGCTCTGTCCAGGACACATGGGAGAAAAGAAGTGAACAGTGCCTGGTCTTCCTCAGAGTTTGAGGCACAGCATGACACTAATAGACAGACATTCATGATTTTCTGTGGGGATCGGAGGGGGAAGGAATCAAAAATACAGAAAATAAGACTTAAGTGAAATACTGACCCATTCATTCCTGAAAAATGCCTTCCCTCCTATATGTTTTCTTAAGAGAAGAAAAATTACCAGGTGAAGGATACTGCTCTGCCATTACATTGGCTGAGCAATAATGCAAGAAATACTATGGAAGCAGCAGATATAGAATAGATAAATATGGATTGCTCTCTCTGTGAATTGTGAAACAAAAGCAATCAACCAACAATCTCCATAGACCTTTCCCAAATCTGCTAAAATAGCACCAAAAAAAAAAATAAAACACATTCCAAAACTGCTATCACTTCATACCACTAGAATGACAAAGGCGCAGGGTGGAAGATCCTTTTTATTAATTCAGTGGACATAAACACATTTGTAGCAATCAGAGAGAACACGCAGAGACTGAAGGCAATTTACTATGGAGGGTGCAATCTTACACTTTGCTCTCCCAAGGAATGCATATATAGCACTCTGTTCAAACAGCCTCAGGGCTGAAAGTTGCTTGCATCAAACCAGAGTGAAGCATGAACAGATTTTGCTTACATTTATGTGCAACTTGCAATATGGGTGGCCCTGGAGAAGGCTCAGGAAGAGTTCTGCAGACAATGCTTCTTAGTCAYTGTGTACACATCCGCAGGTGCTTACAAAAATTACTTCTTAAAACCTATTAAGATCATTCTCTCCAAAAGGGATCTGAGSTCCCACGATTCACCTGAACTAAATAACATACATGCCATGGCATGAATCTAACAACAACTCAGGATATCATTAAACTATATATAGAGATATCATATCCTTCAAAGGCAAATTCAASTCTCCTGTAGTAAAATACTCCTACAGTGATGTAAATAATTCTTGCTTGCATGACTATTCCCAGTTAAGAGTGAAGGTACATACTGTGTCTTACTGACCAGAAAAACCTATGGAAGATTGAGTAACCTTTGTAGAGCACAGGGAATCTTTTAGGCAAATCCTTTGAGGTATCAGACTTTGAGCATCACAGTTTGAACACAGAAGGTCAATCCACATGTGCACATGAAATACCAAAACCATGCCAATAAGACTGAGGCAAACTAAAAGTCATAACCATTGTTAGATCTTTTGATTCTTATGAGAAGGCTGGATGAAACTTTCTGGGAGCACAGTTTTTATATTTCTAGATAATACTGAGATTGTCTGGGAGCTAATTTTCTTCACAGCAGCTTGCATGGTGCTGTGTTTTAGATTTGAATACCAAAGCAGCCCTGGTAACACACCAGTGTTTYAGCAGTTGATGAGCAGTGCCTACACAGCATAAGGGCCTTTTCTGTTTCTCATGCTGCCACTGCCCTGGGTGGATGAATGGTGCACCTGTGTGGAGACACAGCTGGGACAGCTGAACTCAAATGACCAAAGGATATGCCATATCATGTAACACTATTATCAGCTATAAAAGCTGAAGAAAGGAGGGGRAAGACACCAACATCAAGAGCTAGGACATTTATCTTCCCATGCATCATTAGAGGATGAGGTCCCTGCTGGAAACTGTTAAACACCTGCCAGGGAATGGGAAGTAGGGAATGAATTCTGTATCTTGCTTTGCATATGTATCTTCACCTTTGCTTTATCTATCAAGCTGTCCTTATTTCAACCCCTAAGTGTTCTCACTTTCACCTTTCATGTTCTCTCCCCCGTCCATGGCGGCGTCCATGCCCCACCAGCTCTCTGGGCCTGACTGCCTGCCCAGCCTCACTCACAAGAGTGTATTTTTATGTAAGGATTCAAAATCTACATGCAAAAGGGTTCTTGAAATGTAGGCAACACAGGGCATATGTAACATAGATTGGGGAATGCAAATGGTAAATTTTACACATATGTGTAATGTGATATCTGATAACGTTTGAATTACAACAGCTTTCACTTGGAAGCACTGTCCTTGAAAGAGATGGACACCTTGCTCACCTGCTTCCAGCAGGATGCCCTGCAATACACAGCTGTAAGTACTTTCTTCTAGCTGTGAAATTCCTGCACTGTTAATTCTTAGTCACATGAGCAYACACGTTACATGCTTGGGATTCAATTTTAAAGTGGCTGCTGAGATTTTGCAATGGCAGTTTAAAARCTAAGCAATTGCTCTTAACTGCTCAGGTAGTTAACATTCCTCTGCCTTTGTTTTTTAACATCCTATCCTCCCCAATATTCCTGCAGGTGTCAATCCACCCTCATATTCCTAATATAAAATGCACATACAACCTTTCTATTTTTCTTTTACAGGCATTGTCTGTGATTCTAATTTTAACTGAGCTGTGCAGGCCACAGACACTTTGAATACCTGCCTGCAAGCCTGGAAGAACTACTGCACACGCCAGGCACCCTCACAAGGAATGATGCCATTCACCATAGGGTTCAGYGCAAACACAGCAGCATGTCTTTGTGTACCATTATTAAAATATCAGTCCTATTTACCAACATTTGTTGTTGACATTTTCTGTCCTACACCTGCTTTTCCTCTCTACCATCCCCTTTCTCTTTCTTTTGCTCATTTCCTACTAGACTGTCTTCACAYCCCACCTCAAGAATCATTATTGTATGCCTTAGGCAACAAAAAAATTTACATTAGCCTGCAGACAATAAAAGCATCAGAAGCAATGTTTCCTGTTAGTCAAGCCACAGACCCTGTGAAGTAGTAAAKGTGCAGTCCCGCCTCAGGGAAATAGTCAGGACTGACGGTATGGTAGAGTCTGGAGAGCCTTCTCTGAATTCAGGGTATTGCTTCTCTGAAGGTAGGCTTAACCCTGCAGTGTTACACTTCATACAAGTAGGAACGCTAGTTATTTCTTGAGACAAAATTCATTACCAAGAAACTCAGTGCTTCTTTTRTCACAGTGTGTTTTAGATGGCAGACTTAAAATTGGCTCTGCTGTGTTCAGAAGAGACATCAATCTGTGCTGCTATTATGTACTTGAAACACTGAAACGATCGGCCAGGATACTTTAACCTCACTGAAAGTACYGAAATGCCTCCTTTACACAGTCAAAAAACCAATAACCAATTCAATTATTTGCAATGGAACTTTAAAAATATGAATSTGTTAATAAATATTAGCAATTAAATTATTAATCAGTTAATCAGTTTTGTAATTATATTCTTAATTAGAACCAGCATCTAGCTGGAATCTTATTTTGGTTTGTTAATACACATCCATCTGCTACACTTCTGCAATAATTCACCAGTACCCCTGGTGCCAAACTACCAGTTAATCCAACCTAAGCACCTTGAACAGCTCCACATAGCTCTTTATTGTTACATGCAAGAAATACAACTTTAAAAAAGTTGCCTTTTCATATCCCTCTGCACTTTGTTCTTCGGTAAGCCACTGTGGACTCACAGTTATCAGGCAGAAAAAGCCATGCTTCTCTACAGAACTCTGAAGAACATTACAATGAAGAACATTGCCACAGAAAAGCCAATTAAACTGTCTCTTTACCTCCACTCTGCATGACTTGTGCAAGAGCAGTCAGAAATAGTTCTCTAATCCACAGAGGATGAAGCTGTAAGCGCATTCCCATGGGCCATGCTGAGCAGCTTCCTGGGTGCTGGGACTTCAGGTGCTACATTTCTATCAGGGAGCYTGCCTGCATTCTATTATGATTAGTAGATATAAAATATAAAATATAATTGCTGCCTGGGAAGGTGCCGGAGAACTATGGAAAGCAGAATTTAAGGTAGTGGGAAGTGTCATTAAAAAGGCCTAATATCAATTGGGGAAAAAAAAATCCCTTTACCAGTATTTACATATATTTTAATTTTCCAGTTTGGGGCATTTCAATAACCCTAAATATCTTGCCTATGCTGCAATAATCCCAATCTATATTTATAGGAGCTAAATCAGATTTATGAAAGTCATCCAAATGAGTCTCCACTCTTGACTTAGGTCATCAAAACAGTTCTTAGTATTATCCTTCACCGTGTTACTTAAGCACAGTCCTGTCCTTTCCTTTTGCTGTCTTCACGAGCAAGATGCCTGCAGGACTGTCGCTTTGGAAAATGAACAGCACAGGAATTTTACACCCCGGTTACCCGGTGCAGCATGCCACCACTAAACTCCAGCTATTATCATATCTGTCTGAAATTGTTCACAATTCGCTCTGCTCTCCTGCACGTTGTTCAGTTACAAGTTTTGTTGCCTCTTCATTTGCCTCTTTCCCAGATCACTAACCTAGACAATGCAGAACTACCTTATTAACAACTGCTGCAGTGCTGAAAATCARCGACTTGATCCTCATCTGCCATTCATTCCACTGTTCTTTTCAGTGASACTGTTAACGAGTGTCATCTCGTTAACACTTGGGGTCTTCACTAACACTTCTTCAAAGATATTTTAGTTTCCAAATAAAGTACGGAGAACAGCGTTCTTTGCCTACGGGACATGCTACAGGCTGAAGCCAGGGGAGCAAGCTGTCACAGTGTGCGACAGCCAGCGGCAGCCGCGGCTCAGGGCAAGGGGGCACGGCAGGGAGACGCTTCAACCCGGGCTCCGTGGATTTCAGCGGGAAGGCAGGAGCGGGCTAAGGGGGAAGAGGGGGAGGTCCCGGGGAACTTCTGTATCAGGGGCTTCCTTGTTATGCCACATGGATACTGAGGTGCCTCCCGCTCCCGGCCCTCGGGGCAGGGGCTCCCGGCGGGCCAGACAGTCCCGGGGCGAGGTGCGGGCGGGGTGGCCGGCTGTACTCACTGCTTGTAGGGGTCGTGGAAGGGCAGGGCTAACCAGTCTCCGTGCATGGCGTGCATGTAGCCCACCATCTCCTCGGCGCTGTGGTCGGAGGAGATGAACACCACCTCGAAGGGRGCGGGTGGCTCAGTCTCCTCCAGCAGCTCCGTGTAGAAGTTGCAGAGGACGGGAGTGAAGTCTCGGCACGGCGAGCACCAGCCGGCGGAGAAGTACAAGCCCACGACCTTGTTCTGCAGGGCCTCCTCGGGGTCCACGCTGCGGCCATCCTTGCTGACCAGGAGCCGCCCGCTGAACACATCCACCATCCTGCACGGCCGGGGCTGCGAGCCCGAGCGATCCCGGGACGCGACCCCGCCCGCCGGGACCGACCCTCCCTCCCCCGGAGCCCAGCCCGCCMGGGGCGGCGGCTCAGCGACACACTRTCCCCAGCACGCCGCCACACCGCCACCGTCCCGGCYCCGCCGCTGCCTTTATAGCCGGCGCCACCGCCCGGACCCGCCCAGCGCTCAGGGCAGCCAGAGACGCGGCCCCTGACCCTGCTCCGCTGAGCGCCAGCCGGCTTTGGAGGAGGCAGGGACAGCTCTAGACTTGCCGGAGACGTCGAACTTTCAGTAAATTTTAACAGTAATTGACTGCGTCGGGCCTCTCCAGCTTGCCATGGGCTTCACCGTGTCTCCCCTAAAGATCTCATCACCTTGGTCACCTTTGGCTTGGTCACCTTTGGCGCTAAACATTTTTATTATCAGACGTCCAGCACTTTTTCTGTAGCATGTAAATTTGTCTGAATTCTGGATATAAAAGGGGTTTCTATTCTCTGTCCAAGTAGATAAGAGGAATTCTCATTTTATTCCAGTGCATTTGTGTTTGGGTTGAAYAATACTTTTTTCCTCCAGCTGATATTGAGTAAGGAATTAATAAAAATGACATTGTATTACAAATACACAACCTTTTTTCTGCCTAAGGCAGCCTGCAGAAAAGGAAATGAAAGATGATATAGCTGTAGGGGTATTAAATTACAGTTTAATTAAAGGACCATGACAGGGTGATAATCAAACCTGGTGTATTTTCTCTGTTCCATTAATTGCTCAGTACCCAATTAAAAGAGAATTTATYTTAAAAAAATTATCAGTATCCCCCAAAATAAATTCTAGTGTTTATAATGGTTCCATCAAATGGAAYCATTATATATATAGGGTCTAATGAAGCTAGCATAAAAATATTCCACATTAAAACTGCATATGCAAATGCATTCTAGGCTTTTACTTCTGAATTGATCCCCTATGTTAATCTGCAGCCTCTCAAAAACTTACCAATTTTACTTACAAAAAAGATAAAATCATGACAAATATATATTATGATTCAAATGCAGAACACTAAAATAGAATGGATGTTCATAATGAAGAGTGCTTGGCTGGGTAAATTGTAACCAAGTTCATAGTGAAATTAAGTCAAATTTCTGATCATCTTCTGACCATATAGTATGAACTGTAAGAATAGCGATACTTAAAGTCAAGAATGCTTGCTGTCATGATGCTAGAATAAACCTTGCTCATCCAGTGGTAATCRCTAGAGAATTTCATAATAAAATGAAACAAAAACTTCCCATCACAAAAATTGCATTTATGATATTGCAAGAATTTTTACTATTGAATTTATGATACTATTTTAAGGTAGTAGTATTTAATTCTGCCATTTAATGTAAACCCAAGATTTTTMGTTTATTTGTGCTCACATTGCAGAGATGATCTTACTTTCCTTTTGAGGTGAGTTTTGCTTCAATTAACACTGAAGTAAATATATAACCTATTTTTGACACAAAAAATGAGAATTTGAAAAAAAAAAAAAAAAAAAAAAAAAAAAAGAAGAGCCTGAATCATAGTCATGCTTCAATGATATAGGACAATGCTGAGAAAGAGACATAGAAGAAATCAACTGGAAGTAAAATATGTTGAACTTGCTGACTCCTAAATTATATATGAAAATACAGTGTGTATTCAAAGCAACATAAATCCATACACCTTGGGTGGCAGAGTTAATGTCTCTGTAAGCTCTATACAAATAAAATGTCAGAAGGTTCTGAAAGCCTGTCTAGGTCTTTTATGAACCCTTTGCTCTCTCCTTCTCGTACCTTCCTGATAGCTGGCACTGCTCTGAGTAATAAAACAAGATTAAAAAAAAAATTGACCCAATAAACATTTGCAATAAATAGTCTCTTAAAACTTCTGTGATACACATGATGCTGGATTTTTCAGTGAAAAGCTATAAAGCACCAAGTGTCAATCATCTCATAATTCTTAACCATTCTGTAGGAAATGCATACTTGCAGGACACASTTGATGTTGGCAGACTGTATATCCATCAACTGAGATGTCATAAGGCAAAAGCTGACTAAATTCACTCAAAGGAGAGYGTGACCTGGCTGAGGGCTTGTTGGCTTTGGGCTCAATTAATCATTAGCACATCATGTACTTAATTACGCCCTGTTGAAAATATATAAGTGACAAACGTAATCAAGATAAACTTTGGTTGGATAAAACTATATGTAATGCTATCCCTAAAGAAGTGATATTAGCAACTGGCCTTGGCGAATCCCATTATGTATGAATACTAATCAGAATGAAAATCAGACCCCTAATGAGACATCAAGGGAAAGAACATGAGAATAAAGGAAATATATCAGTGGATAGAACAGTTACACATGTAGAAATCATTGACAAAATTATATAAAAGGGATGGGTTTTAAAAAATTCATAATACATAGCAACATGCTTTTCAGGAGAGAGCCATAATCTGAGTTATTGGTGAGAAAGCAAGTAGTTACTTTCCACAGAGTTCACAGTGAAAAAAAGCAATAGCAAGTTTCTTGGTCTCAACCCAACACATTAACCGATGAGCTGGGGAAAACAGCCAGTGGGCAAAGAATTACTGAGCCAAAAAAAAATTAAATTTTACCACACACAACCTGCCAACTGCAGTGGTTATAGGATATTCATAGCATTCCTTAGAGCAGTCACATTTGGAACACTTTTCCTTCAGCTGGGTTCAGGAGCCCTGACCACATGTGTCATTATGACATAGTCAACAGTGATACAGACACTTAGTGAATGTTCATGCATGTTTATTCTTGGAGCTGCTTTCCCTACATAATCTCCAAATCTCCAAATGAAAGAATTATCCTTTTTTTCAAAGAGGAATATTAACCAAATAAGCAGCACACAGTTTTTTTTAATTACAATTTTATTAATTATATTTAAATTCTCTAGTGCCCATTGCAGCAGATATCAAGGGCTAACTGTTATGGAATCTTAGTTTTCCTCCATATGAGATACTGGGATGTAGCTTATCATTCTTMCCACAGACACCCACTATCATCAGGACTAAATGAGAGCTGTAGCAGCTACCAGGCAACCAAAACATTTTAGTACAGAAGATATTCTAAGGTATATCTGTCCTTTTTTTATTTTATTTTTTTGAAGCAATAGTTGGTTACAAATAAGAGGCAAAAATTATTACATATAACTGCACTGGTGAGGCCTCACTTTGGGCCCTGTACACAGTATTGAGTGCCACAATATGGAAAAGACATTAAGCTATTAGAAAGGGCAACAAGAATGGTGAAGGGCTTGAGGAGGAGCCACCTGAGGAGCAGCTGAGGTCACTTGATCTGTTCAGCCTGGAGAAAAAGAGACTGAGGGGAGACCTCATTGCAGGAATGGCCTGAAGTTGTGTCAGGGAGGTTTAGGTTGGATATCAGGGAAAGGCTCTTCACCCAGAGGGTGGCTGGGCACTGAACAGGCTCCTCAGGGCAATGGTCACAGCACAGSCAGACAACATTCAAGAGGTGTTTGGGCAATGTACTCAGGGAAAAGTGGCGTGACACTCGGGGTGTTCTGTGCAGGGCCAGGAGTTGGACTCAATGATTCTTGTGGGYGCCTTCTACATCAGGACAGTCTATAGTTCYGCAACAGCAATGTTGAAATAAATGTTTGGAACATAAACCTGGGTCCYACTTTAATAAGTATCTATTATTGGTGAAAATAAACAATAGCAGATACAGAAAGGATGAAAGAATGGCCTTATAAATTAGCTGGATTTGAGAGTTTGCAAACTCTCTTTTTCTTTTAATCAGGAAATACTGCAACTTATTAATAGACTTCTGCTATGCAAAAAGCCTGTTATAGGAAGTGCAGCAACTAGGGGTACATTCTTTCCATTTTACAGATTTTGAAATTAGCAAAGACATATGAACTTSTTGCAGTACAAAAAGCCTGATTCAACAATCCTTTGTATATAACTTTATGCTGAATACTGTATCTCAAATTACCAAGGGCTAGATAAACTAAATGTCATTGCTGTAACATTTCTGACTTCCAAACAGGTACTCCAGGGAAACAATGCAGTGTCACCTAACACAGCAGCAGCTGCATGGCAACAAGGAACAACATTTGCACYAACAGAGATGGAAAAATACTGGAGTAAAATTCTGCTCTAGTTCATTTGAGTTCAGACACACTTTGCACTTCACTCTATACTTTCAGCAGTTTAGTGTAATGAAATGGACATTTGGGGTTTTGGTTTGGTTTTCTTTTGCTGAAGAGACTTCTTACTGGATACATTCATTTCAGGATCAGAGTCACACAACTCTAGATCCTGCATTTATGTACCTTATGAGAAATGTAAGTGTGCTTGACTCTTCCTGCAGAAACTAGATACCATCCTCTACATTTGCTAGTAACCACCACCTAATTCCATTTGTTTGTCAGAGCTTCTGATGGAAGAAGACCAGGTTGTCACAAGCAGTCTGATACAAGGAGGGACTCCAGAATTCTAAGAGTAGTTTCAGTTGCTTTAAGTATTTTGATAGCTGCACACAAAAGAAATTGGCATCTGCACAACCTCTTCTGGCAAAATGAGTCTTCAGTTGCAGAAGAGACAGCCTACATTTACTCTGCCCACCTCATTAGCAGCCTCTCTTCTAGCTAGATTTATTTGAATCGTTCAGTCAAACACATATTTCAGGTGATAATTTATTGGCAAAAAAAAAGGACCAGGTCCTAGGGAAGCCAATGTAAGTTTTACATGCTGACACTGGAAAACTTTCCTGCCAATCGCCCAGCTGCCAATGCAGCTATGCTGCAGCTGCTAGTAGCTCCTAAAAGGAGTTTTGGCAGAGCACGTTGACCTTACTACAGCCACTTGTCTCAGGTTTGCAGGCAGTCTCCTAMGTTTTCTTTCTGCCATGCTCATTTTCATAAGAAATCTCTGGTTTTCCTGCTTGAATAAWGGTAATATTATTTTAAGGCGAGGATTCATTGTCATTTATACTGTACATGCTTTATCTAACCACTGTAAAATCCCAAAGACCTTCCCCTTGCACAGACATACCAGATTATATAGACTGTAGTAACATGTGCTCTAACTTTAAAACCATTAGAGCCATAGAA